CTGGGACGCAACTCAATGGGAAAGGAAATGATTCTCATTTCTTATTTCAACAGTTGCATATATTAGCTGCGACATATGAATCAAGATGCTATGACCGAAAAAATGTGATTGACAGACCGTTGATATATGATTGGCCGAATTTAGGTGTATAGGACAGATTTTAAGACAGGATAACTTTTGAGACAATATCGAAAACCAACGACTATCTGAAAAGAATGAGCCCTTTACACCCTTTAAGTTCTATAGATCTCAAGAGTTAACCTGCTGCAGCAACAGCTGCCATCAACTGTTTGGGATAACTGCCAAAGAATCTTTGGTGTTAATCTGGATGAATGTGTCCCTCTTTGCCCATAAAGTTTTTAATTTAGACAAATTTTCTTATTTCATAATAACGTGTTGTTCCACACTCTCTGAGAACCACCGCTTTAGATCATGGGTCTACTTATGTAATGTAGGTCAAATACTATTCAACATAGGTTTCTATTTTATCGAATTCTTTAACATAAAGGGTATAAAGCCTTGGTGATATCAGTAAAATCAGATAAAAATTACATATCCTTACATTTTCTTCATAATTTACCTGGGGTGGGGAAATATGAATTTCAGACGAGGCCTAATTGGTTTGGATAGCTTTTTTTTTCTAAATAAAGAGAAGAATAATTTTAAAGAACATTTATTTTTTTGTAATTCATTACCATCTTTAAATATCTAAAATCAGTATGATAAAAGTATGACAAAACATCTCATGAAGCATCTTCATAGCAGTCATGAAGCAGGCACAGTAAGGAAAATGTTAAAGGGGAATTTTCTACGGGAGTAGCAAGGTGATGACGCACAGCGTGACACAAAGGCTGCTACAGAGGCACACAGGAATCTATTCATGACCGTGGGGTCTAAATTAAATTAATCTTGAAGCAGAAAGGTCAAAATACCTCTGAATGGACACAGAGATAGATATATGTTACATTTATTAAGAATAAATATTTCCATTTCAAATTGTAAGAAATAAATGTTCTTTAATGGAAAACCAGCATCTAGCTGTCATTAATGATTTAATAATATGACTAAGAAGACCTATGATGCAATGATTAAAAAGGAACAAATATTTGAGTTAAACAAAAAAAAAAAACAGATAAAAATGCCTAAATACATAAGAAATAAAAATCCTTGAAAACATTCTAGCATCAGTTTTAAAACAAATAAACGCTTGTTGACCTTTCATTTATCCAGACTGAATACAGGTGACTGTATACATAACAAAATATGAGCCCAAAATCTTTTTCTTAATCCGTTAGTGAAGATAGATCCTTCTTAGCAGTGTTCTGTTATAAATGTGAGGGAGACTTGGAACAGTTGCAACGAATTTCCACTACATTTCACAGGTGTTGCTGCTGCAGGTTAACCTCAATAAGTAAATTTGGTAAAAAAGTAGTTTTTCAAATTATATTTTTTTAATAAATGATTCACAAAGCGTGGATTTTTATATTTTATATATTTACCTTTAAGTTTGATCATTATGAGTCAAAGGTATAGTGGATGATTTTCATGAATTTTTTAAACCAGCGGTCCCCAACCACCGGGCCGCGGACCGGTACCGGTCCGTGGGTCATTTGGTACCGGGCCGCACAGAAAAAAGTACAACGATCAGAGTCTGAGTGATGCTTTATTTTGAAAAATATAAAAAAATTGCGGTATTCTCTCCCAATTTCATCAGTCGGTGCATCTGTGCCTCTTGACACAGGTTAATTCAGTTCAAGACTCATCCTATCTATAACATCCTATCTTTGTGAAGCTGAATTTTCTGCGGTTAGAGCAACCAAAACAAAGCTACGGAGCAGACTGGACATCAGGAGCACACTTCGTCTGTCATTGTCTCCGATTACGCCTAGATGGCACCGGCTTGTTGTTATATTTTTATGCTGTTTGTATTTGATTTTATGCCCGTCGTATCATTTTACTTGATCGTAGGCAAGGCAATTTCTCCTTGTGCACGCTCTGTTTAAAAGTTGCTTTTCTCATAGCTCTTACAAGTTTACTGTGTCCGAACATCCACTCTAACCCCTAAATCTCTCAATCACTACATAGAGCGGGGACTTTATAGTGAACTCAGTTAACTGACCGTTCGAACAGATGATCACTACTTTTTGCTCCTCGTTGGTCACATAACTTCAGCTAAATTGCACGGTGCCTGCGCCATCTTTGTCATTAGTCGTTTGCTGTCACAGTGGTGCGCTGTGACAGCAAATCCCATAATGCTTTGAGAGGAGAGCTCTCCGTGCAAAGCATTATGGGATATATCTCCCTCTTCTGAGGCCTTTCTTTTCTTCTCATACGCTTCGTAGACACTTTCTCTTACGACCCTCGGCCATTTTCAAATAACCGCGGTGAGAAAGGTGAGCTTCAATGACTGTCTGAAACCGTAGCTCAACACAGATATATGCCTGAAAGTGCGCAGAAAAAGGTAGCGAACAGGACGAGAATGTAGGATCACCTTATGTAAAAATATCACCGGAATGATTGAAAATTAGGAGGGCCAATTATTTAGATGATCCACCCGGAAATAATGGATCATCCTCTATACCTTTAAGTTTGATGAAAAGTTTTTTTTTTTTTTTTTTACATAAAAGACAATTGGTTATCATATCACATCAACAAAAAATTAATTCAATAAAGAATTATAACTACCATGTCCATATAGTGTACAGTATATGAACTTAATACATGGTAGTTGCTCCTTTTGCATGAATGACTGCATATTTGTCTTGGATAAGGACAAATATCCAAAGCAGCTGAAGTGTTTAAAAGGCCTGAGTTGCTCAAATATCTGCCTTCTGTAATGTTAGCTCCAGTATCTCTCATCTTCTTAACTTTGCATTAAATTACAGAACTGTATGATAATTTAATGATATCCCAATTACTGAAAAACTGCTTAATAAATGTTTTTTATTCTTATAAATAAAACCTAAAAACATATCTCAAAAATCTTCGCTAAAAAAAAAAACTACATTTGTGATAATAAAAAAACAGGTGAAATGAAATAAAAACAAGGATTTAAAACCTAACTGACTCAGAGTGTTACTTGTGTGTCACTTTCTTTTTAACAAGCCAAGTAAAATAAAGTTGGAACAAAGACATGGAGAAAGCAATAAAGGAAAGAAATAATATTAAATAAATATTAAATTAAATTAAGCCTACATTTATTTTGTTTTACTCTTTTGTAAGCCCTGGAATATTAATATCTGTCAAGGATGCACTGTGCTGTTTCTATCACTTCCAACTAGACTTAAAACAGCTACTTTATTACTGAGGGATTGTTGATTTGTTTTTTTAATCAAAGGTGCAAACAACTTTATCCTCAACAATGATTCCACCACTACCTGGTTAATGTAACAAAAAAAAAACCCACTGTCTTTAGCACCCAATTTATCACTTAATTAACAAGAGTGTCTCTCTGAACAAACTAAAAATTGCTCTAACCAAATTTGTCAAAATAAAAACATGTTACCAAGTATGAGAGAGGGAAGCATACAAGCTGAAAACCAAACCAAAACTTCCACATCAGCCTGCTTAAGATAAGGACACTTCAGGAACCTAACCTCCATATTGGCATAAATGTAATATTGCCTTGAAATTCACCTAACCAGCAGTCGAAAGTCTGCTTGTCGATGGTTTCATCTCATCATGGCGGACATGGATTTACAAAGCAATTGGCGCTGTTTTTTACTTCAGAAAGCCAAACAAAGCTGTCAGCATTTTTAGGTTCATCAGATCCACAGAGATGGAATCAGCTTTGAGAATAGCATCACCTCCACCAGAGGCGATGTCTGGATGATAGTGGATTTCAGCTGTACTTCTACGTGTGTCTGAAAATCACTGTTCCTACTGGACAGGAATGACTAGATCACAGATCAGTAAATGGAAGAAAACTACTCAAGTTGTAAGAGCTGCGTATTAGTGATATTACAGCTTAAAAATAATTATGACTGCCAAGAAAAGCTAATTTGCCAAACTGCTTCTAATTTTGGAGCGCCCATAGTGGTATGTAAATCAGGCTGAGGAGACAGTGTGCTCGCTGCCCTACCCGCTAAATACCCGCAGCAGCATTGCTTAGCATAAGACAGTGGATCAGGGATGGCTTCAGCCCCCGCTACGGTGCATTGTTAGATCAAAGAAATGCATGTTTCCTGTATTTGGGTCAGATGGGGACTGGATCAAAAGTGAGCTGCACCAGTGTCCAAGCAGGAGTTGACTGATCAACCTCAAAAAGTGGACCTGGGGCCAGTTAATGGTCTAGAATTAGGGTAAACTAGGGTTCTAAATAAAAAAAACTCTTTGATATGAATTGTTTAATATGTTAATATTTGAGCAACTTTTACTTTGCACTCCTGGTTATGATGTGTAAAACACTTTAAAAAGTTTTTTTTTTTTTTTCACACTAGCAAAAAATAATATTGCAAAAAAAACGAACTTTATATTACATCAATTAATTCAATAAAAAAAAACTGTTATGGTTCTTATTTGTTGTGACTCTGAGTTTTCTGTTATCAGTTGTTTTGTTTTAGTTACTCTCTGTTGCCCCCTTGTGATTGTTTTCTTTTCCCTTGGATTCCCTCTTGCCAGTTCCACCCACACCTGCTCCTCATTCAGCTCGTTAGTCCATCCTTTTGTTTGGTTGTCTTTAAATACTCCACCTCTGCAGTCACTCAGCGCTGGTTCCTTCTTGTTGCTGTATAGTCTACTCTGCTCGAACTCTCCCCGGCTCCTTAGACTCGTCTTTCCCCTGATGTCTCCATGATTTTGGTTTGTTTTATATTTTAAGTTGGATTTCTGCTGCTTTTGGGTCTACAATTAAACCTCTGAGAACTCATCCCTGCTTCACTTGTCTCTGCATCTGGGTCCTCAAGCAACCTCACCACCCACTGTTGACAAAAACATAAGAAATCTGACAGCATTACCCATATTTTCCAACTTTCTAGTGTCACAATCTGTGACACTCCTAGCATTATCTCTGCCTCTGTCTCCTTGAACCCCAGTCAGCCTCAGCAGATGACCACTCACACTGAAACCTGGTTCTGCTGGAGGTTTCTTCCTGTTTAAAGGGAGTTTTTCCTCTCCACTGTCGCTACAAGCATGCTTAGTGTGAGGGATTGCTGAAGAGTCAGTGAGTCGATGCAATCAGCTGGTTTTCACAAGATAGAAAACTTAAAGTTGACTTCATGATTTGGTGAACTGTAAAGTGCCTTGAGATGACATGTTGTAAATTCGTGCTATAGAAATAAACTGAATTGAATTGTATTAAATGTAAAAACAGACATTTTAATTTAATAATTTTTGTGTGGTACTTTTAACTAGTTTTCCATAAAAAGACAAAAATATTAATAGTAGAACTAATCAATAGGTTAAACAAACTAATAAAAAACACAACTTAAGGCACAGTCTGTATTGTCACATTACTAGGGGATGTTTTCTTGTGCAACTGCAATAAAATATTTATTCAAAGGGTTTTACACATCTTTACTGGTGGTGGTAATAAAGCAGGATGCTTTACATGTTTGATGACCTAAATAAAACAGGTGGGACTTGCAAAATAAAAAAAATGTGTATCTTATTTCCTGGCTGCATGTGCAAAGCAGCAGAAAACTGAATTAGGTATAAGTAGCTTCATTTTGTAAGCCTGACCTTAATGCACCTTTGTTACTATTCTACAATAAAATAATTTAACTTAATTTCCGTTGAATTCTTGTTTTTATTGCAATGTTCATAATTGTAACATATTAATCCTGTTACAATAAACCCTAAGAAAGTTTGCACAAATAAGTCCTGCAGCTCACTCTTTCCTAAACTGACCCTGTATTTCTCCCACTTAACCCTTAGTGCTGGGAACCACCAGAAACCTAAAAGTTATATATTTTTCTTAGTAGCACACCATCATGTTTTTATGTAGGAGATGCAGAATGAAGGAAAGGATGTGGTGGTGATGTACTTATTTGGAGAGGACACACTGAGATTAATGCTTGCATAAAAAAAGCACCCCTTTAGGAAAAAAAAAAAATTGGAGATCACCGTGTTCTTAATATTCTCCCTCCCTTACATGCCATTGCTCCTTTTCATCAAAACACATAAAAAAAAAGCTGTTCAAAGACTCCTGAAATACCTCGGCTCTTTATCACGCACTGCCTTCACTATCACAACATCTAAACACTCCTCAGGAGGACTTGACCTGTGGTTGTGATATTAAAAATTCATGCTGCCAGCGATCTATAAATACAGAGGCGGTATCTCACTGCAGCAAAGTGTAAATCAGATTCAAGAATGTGCATGAACTTTCCAAAAAGAAAAGTCTAACTAAATCACCTTGGCTGTGAGAAATCTTGCACATGTATAAGGACAGAAACACACAATACCATACATATTATGTTAAGCGGCTGAATTATGACGAAAATTATGAGGTGGTGGGAGATTTTTGACTTCTTGTTGTCATCTGGCCTAGATGGTAAAAGACTACAGTGGGGTTTGGCATGAGAAAAGAGGAGCGAAGCATCTGGGCTCTGCTGGATGTGAGCAGGTGGGGAAGTGAGCTGCATTAGGTTCAAAGCTGCAGGGTCAGGGCAACACTTGCTTAGAGCAGAGATTAGAGAGGTCAAGGATGAACTTACGGACTGGCTCCGTCTTAAAAAGGCTGGTACGGCTGCTCTCGCCCTCGCCTTTCCCGTTGATGGCGGACATCTTGACCTCGTAGGTAGTCTCTGGTTTCAGTCCGTCGATGATCACGCTGGTCATGTCTGTTTAAAAGATGCTGAGGTTATTCACTAAATAACAAGAATAAAAGAAAAAGAACAAGGGTCACCACTAGTTACTAATTTAGGTTTTGGAAACAGAATAAAAAACTTAAGATTTGTGTGTTTTTTTCTTAAATTAACCTATGATATAAAATTGCTGCTCATTTTAATCCTGGTCATAAAATCGAGGAGAAACTAGCTTTAGGTAGAACGTAATAACTAATCATATATGTACATTTTTATTCTGTTTATTAGATTCTATCATAATTTTATTTATTATGTATTTATTTTAGCGTTTAATAAAGCTTCCCCTTCATTGGTTTGCACTAGGGCTCAGCAATTGATTGATAAAATGTATTAATCTGATTTTTTATCTTTTGATGATTTGATTTTTGGACAATTAAGAATCTATTGAGCAAAGCATCTGGGCTCTTTTATGTATGCAATAACAGATGTGTACTCATAACTGATAATGAAATCATGTTCAGTCCTTAAGAGCTACCATCCTGAAATATTTCGATACATCTCTCCTCTAACATTCCTGAATTTAAATGCTCAGTTTCTCTCATTTAGCTCAAAAGAGCCATTTTGACGAGCCACTCATTTGATTCATTTTTAATGCTCATTTGTGTTAAAAATGGGGTGCAACCAAAAGTTGCAGGACAGTAACTCTTGAGGACTGAAGTTGAGCACCCCTGACCTAAAATCCCCAAGAAAATCAAGTCTTTTGCAGAATTACATGTATTTCAATTTGATTTGTGCAGTTTACACTTTGAATAAATCATATGATAAACCGTAATGTAAATGGATAAAAATATAGCCACTCTGAATATTTATTCTATAAACGGATTATGTTTAAAACTAACGCTGATCAAGACATGTTAATACACAGTATCTCGGAAAAGTAGACATAGTGTAGACATAGTTCTCAAATAGGTCAGAACAAATGTAAATTCTAAAGTGGAACAAAAGAGATGAATGATTTCCTGAACATTTTGGTTTTTATTTTTTAAAGATTTGCCTACTGTTTCTACCACAAATTCTACATAGAACCATAAGACTGATATGGCATACTCAAAATGTGTAATGATCTTGGTTCTGTTGGTTTTTCTATTGTCAGGGTTTAGTTGTGGTTTGAGGTAGGGTTGTCAAAAGTATCGATACTCAAAAAAGTATCGATACTAAAATGTTGTATCCGGATACAATACTCATTTTCAAAAGTATCGAGTACCAGTCGCACCTAAACAGTCATTCATCTAAAGTGCAGAATAGAGGAAAATGCACTTTCAGAACAGTGTGATTTAATAATTCTGTGCACTTTTCAGTTTCAGACTTTTTTTGTAACAGTTGCAGCTGCTGAGAATTATTTTTGTTTCTTTTTGTTTATTTATTGTATTTTAATTATTAATCAAAATATTTCTGTTGAAATGTTATCCTTGTGGTATCGAAAATGGTATCAAGTGTCGAATATTTTCCTTAGTATCGGTATCGAGTTGAAAAGTTTAGTATCGTGACAACCCTAGTTTGAGGACCCAAATGCAGAGGCTGACAGGCAGGGGTGAGTTCTTTAAATATTTAATGAAATATCAGGCAGCAAAAACAGGAATCCAAAAAAAATCCAACTTAAAAATGTTAAACAAAAAAAAAGGATAACAACATTTACATTTAATTCTTAGCACTGAGAGTGGGAGATATATCTGATGTTTTGAAGTCGTAGTAGAGCCTCATTGGTTCTTTGTTCAAGCTTAGTCTGGACTTTCTTCATTCTTGGTTTTCCAGTTGAATTTGCAGGGCAGAGCTGTGTAGACTAGCCCTGGACAAGAACATTGCCCTTTACCCTATTTCTTTCCATTAATAGCTTCTCAAGACATCTGTGTACAAAGCTATATGTGTGGATAGGGAATGAATCCGCTGTTGGCCTTTTCTCTCCAAAAAAAAAAGAAGATCTTATCTTTTTTGCTCTATTTACTTTTTACAACTGTTAAATGTAGCTTAGTTAGTGTCCTTTCATTGGTTGGTTTCCCTAGATGGCAGTTCTCCTAAAACATCCCGAAAGGTCTGGCTCTCAAAAAAAGACTAAGTGCTACTTTTATCCCCATGAATGACATATGTTTTTTTTATGATGAATAACTTTTTGCCAAGACATGGAACATAATATCACGTTCATGAAAAATATAATATTTACAGATGGAGCATAAGGAGATTATTGTATTCTATTTCTAGAAACACTGGTAAATCTCATTAAACTGAAACATTTTTGAAACGTTTAATTTAAAAAATAAAAGACAGTTTATTACAAAGGGCCACAGTTTCAATGTCCAGGTAATAATAATAGACGTAGTGTAATGATCTTGGTTCTGTTGGTTTTTCTCTAAGTTTTCAGTTTCAAGTTCATCCAGGTTTTTCCTTGTTTTCTAGCTTTATTGGTGTGTTCTAGATTCATTTCTGTCACGATTTGTTTGGAGGTTTTTGTGAGGACCCAAATGCAGAGGCTGACAGGCGGGGGTGAGTTCTTAAAAGATTTAATGAAAGAACAGGCAACAAAAACAGGTATCCAAAAATCCAACATAAAAATAAAACACAAACCAGAACCATGGAGACATCAGGGGAAAACCATCGAGGAGCCAGGGTGAGGAAAAGTAAGACGAGAAACCAGCATAGAGGGACTGCGGAGGGAGTGTATTAATGGCTGACTGAACAAAGGAAGGACTAACGAGCTGATAAGGAGCAGGTGTGAGTAGAGCTGAGGAGGAAGCCAATGGAAAAGAAAACACTAGGGGGCAACAGAGGACAGACAAAGAAAAACCTAAGAAACTTAAATGAATCCAGAACACACAAATAAAGCCAGAAAACAAGGAAAAACCTGGATGAACTTGAAACTGAAAACTTAGAGAAAAACCAATAGAACCAAGATTATTACAAAATGTAGATTTTATAAAACCCAGAACTCACCAAAGATCCATTTTCTCTTAGTCAATTCAATTCAAAGTTTGGTACAAATTTCCACCTCTTGTTCCTCTCTCCACACACCTACATGTAACCATATAGAGTCAACCAAAAGCACCACGTGTATCTGAGCCAGCTGACCAATATTATTTCATTTATTGGTGAATAGTGGCAACCACAAAGAAGAGAAGGTAAAAATGCTGAACTCTTTAAACCAAGCATCCCCAAACTCGGTCCTCAATGCCCCCCTGTACTGCAGGTTTTAGAGGTTTCTCTGCTTCAGCACAGCTGGTTATAATGATTGCAGTAGACCAAAAGCCTGTTAATCAGCTTTCAATTAAAATCAGCTGTGTTGGAGCAAGGAAACCTCTAAAACCTGCAGAACAGGGGGCCTTTAGGACCGAGTTTGGGGATGCCTGCTAACAATCTCTCTTTTTCTTTTTCTTCTTTTTTGTTTTGTTATGACTTTATTTACTTATATTTGCTTTTTATTAAGTGTTCGAAATAAATGATCAATAATAAAAAAAAAAAAAATCTCTCAATTTCGTTCCTAAAATTAATCTCTACAGGTAACGCAAGAACTGCTGTATTGCAGCAGCATGGAGGTCCAGCCTCCTGGACACATTCCAAGTCAGATGCTAATCAATTAGCCACCCTTTGTTCTTCTGGATTGTTGGAGCCTTTTGCTGTGCATGGGCTATGTGATTAGTCTTTTGAATCATATTGGGAGAGCTTATGTAACTTCTTGGGAATAAGTTCCATGACTGAAATGTCAATGCTTGGAAGCTGAAACTACAATCATCCCCCTCTTGTTGCCTTCCAATTAAAGCTTGTTTGTGTAGGTTTATCATTTGCATATCTGATATTTTATTATTGTACAGTAAAATCACCAAAATGATGATAAAATTAGACGGATATAATAATTTTCAAGGCAGAGTATAACGATATAGCCACAGACATCTCCTCTGTAGGAAAGCTGCACAAAACAAACAACAACAAAAAAAAGAATCAGGAGGAGAGCTCTCATTTTGGTGAAACTGGAAAAAATGAGAGGAGGAAGAAAGCATGACAAAAGGTGAAAAAAATAAGCATTGTGGCTCCCAATACAGACTTAATTGCAGGGAATGAATTAAATTAAAGATCCATTGAAACTTGAGGCCCATCAGGTGTAGAACAATAGTAACCCAATCAATAGCTCTATGAGTGCAGTCGCTGAGTGCAAGTTTCATGCATCAGGTAAATTAATTAGACAATGTTAGGATTCAGGCAGCTACTACACGCACAACATGCATGTGTTTCCTAACTCGTGTTATAAAAAGACACTTGGCTGATACCCCACTCTGCAATACAAAGAAGAGTAATTTCATAGCCAAGAGCCAATTTCAGCTATGCAAAAGCCCCCACCTGTGCAACATCTCTCCATTACTCTGACGCCCTGTCTTAGATTAACATCTCAATCAGAGGAGGTTTCAGAGAAATCCATTTACATACAACTAGAAAGCATTAGACCAGATGGATTCAGAGTTGGGCTTTTAGCGCTGGGCTAAAATTGATGTCAGCGCTGAAACAGTTCATGTTTTGATGAAATTTCTTGGCCGCCTGCAGTAATTTGGTTCCTGCTGCTTCTGGAAAAGGTTATCTCCACGGAGCCTCGCAGTTGTTACAATCTCAGTTCTACTCAGTCCCTGTTACCCTTTGTGCTCCTACAAAACATCCGACTGCAGAATGAAGAGGTCTGTACTACCAACAAATACGAAATCCATCAGTTTAATTTTTGAGAAAAGCAAAAGTTAAAACAAATGATTCTACACCGGTGTTGCATGAGTTTAAAAGGGATGTCTGGGATCTTTAACAGGGATAGAGCCATGGAGCATATCACAGAGATCAGAGCAATAGAACAAAGTTCAATCTGAAAAACTCATAAGGAAAGAAAAGACGATTAGAGGAATTTTATTGGTACAGTTACTTTAGTCTTTGGTGCTCAGACCTCGGCAGGAAACATAGTGATGAATTTTGTTTGATAAGCATGAACAGGAGTAAAGAACAGGGATGTTTTTTGCCCCCAGGCCTAATGGTGGTGGAGTGGAGATGGATGAAGTTGGTCAGACGGTGTGTTTGAGATGTAAGGAGAGATCCAGTGGACTGTTTGAGCTGATACAGTCCACTGGATGCTTCACTCAGGGACCTGGAAGATGGAAGTCAAGCTTGGTCCATGATGAGCAAGCATAAAGCGACAGTGGAGTGGAAAAACTCCCCAATGGGAAGAAACCCCTGGCAAAACCAGGCTCAACATGGCGGTCTTCTGCTGGACCGGTTGAGATGAGATAACGAACGCAATAAGACTCCGGAAGAAATGAAACTCTAATGAAGCATTAGCTCTGAACAATCCCCCCTTTAACAACCTACCTTTCAAAATCATAGACAGGTTTCAGATATTACAGGCTAACAATGGATCCAAACGACCCGCTCGTCAGGTCAATTTGGTTCTTTCCAAGCAATACAAGGCCTTGTTTTTTTGTTCCACTATATAAAGCCTCAAACTTAATGGGAATCCAGACATTTTGAATTGAGAAAGCTTCCTGGATGGGAAGCGAAACGTTTTCAAACCTCGGAAACAAAGTCCAGTGGATTGTTTTTTAACTTTTTCAGAATTAGCTAAGATGGTGGAGGAGGGGCTGAAGGTGGGTTGAAATGGGGTCGTTTGAATTGAAGGCAGACATAGCGCAACCACCGCCTGCACTTTGGGTAGCAGACAGAGTTGTGGATTGGAGATCTTTTAAGATAACTATGGATGCTGATTGGGCTTTTGTGGAGAAGCTGATTAGCTTTAGCCTCGTGAGACCATCCTGATTTCGCGAGCTTTTAAGGTTTCACTTGCAGATCAGTC